CAGTAAATTGCTTAAACTACTTGCAGGTTCACAAAAGTCTTATTTTCATCAAAGGGAAAAGGTAATTCAGGTTTTGAGGGCAGACCTTTCCTCTTTCTAGCAGAAGACAACATATGAGAGGGGCAGAAGTTCAAAAACCCTTAAGCTGTTCAAGGCAGCTCAGCCATTGGAGCTGAGAAAAGAGTGGTCTCTCAGGAATACCTTTTAAGCCTTTGAAGCAGCACCTTCTGTGAAGTAGAGTCATTTGTAGAATAACTATTTACTAACTTTTTCCTCTCCTCCCAGAGGAGAAACTCCTGTTACTTTTTTCCCCTCCCTGAAGTGTGTTGCTCTAAGCTGATTGTCCTCCCCTGTGGGTGTCCATCCAAGATCTCTCTGCAGAGGCATTGAAATCTTCAGGGCACAAGTCTTGGCACAGGTTTCTGGGTCTAGCCTGCTGACTATATAACTCCTATCTAGCCTGGGGAGCCTTCATCTCCAAGTGAGGTGGGAATTTTCTTTTCTGCTGTGCCAGCTGGGAGACTTTTCCAGAAACTCAGTGCTGTCGTACAAATCTTTCAAGATGTACTCAAGGTCTGTTTATTTCCTTTTGCTTTTGTGGCAAATTGTTCCTCTAAAGGTAAGGTTTGCTGTTGGTTTTTTCCCCTGGCATTTACCTCTGATACCTAACAGAGTACTGCAATCATTTTTAGCCTTCCTTTTGCTCTGCTGAAGCAGCTGATTCTTTAGGGTTTTCATGAGCAAGCACAAGTAGGGAAGACAGGTCAGCTGTGGCAGTGAAGCGTACTGTGAAAGCTAATTTATCCTACATCCTCATTTTACTTTTAATCATGTCCTTGCTTATATTGCAGCTCCCTATTCCACTGCCTTTTTTTCCAAAAAAATTGAAATTGAGGCCTTCATGAACAGATGTGCTAAATCTACCACATTTGTGTGATCATAGGAAGTGGATTGAGGAAGAAAGAGACCAGGTTAATCAGTGATGATTCAATGTTATAAATTCATGTTGCTTCTTAATTTACTTTCTCTCATACTTTCCTCTGAGCTCTGACACACTGCTGGTACCCAGTCTGGAAAATTGCTGAGAGCAGATAATAATCTTCTATTTTGTGCATCACTTCAGTAAAAGATCCTTGTACATTGTAGATACCTGCATTTCTCTGACTATGGTGTTCTGGGCTCTCTGGTTTCAGAGCAATGTGGTCTTGCATTTTGCAGTGTGGTTTTGTATTTTGCTTCTACTTTCTGCTTCCACTTCCACTCCCGTCCAATGCATGCTATTCATAGAAAAACAAAGGACATGTTAATTTAATTGGGGATTTTGGGGTAGAAAGGAATTTACATAAGGTCCTGAAACTAACATGTGTTGCTTGGTCTGCAGTCTGCCAGAGATGGTTATTTAAATAACCCTGACTTAGCTATGTCTGTCAGCAAAGGCAAGTGGAGCAATCAGAGGTGGCTACCTATCTCCCCCAGGAGACAGCAGATAAGAAGAAGGGAAGGAATAGCATTTGGGCTCCCTAGTCTCAAAAAGCAGTGGTAGTGCAAAATGGCAGCTGGGGAATCTTCTCTTTGTACAGCAACTTGGCAGATTTTTAAAAGAAAACAACGGGGGGAAAATCTGAGGTCTGGTTTGTAAATGACTCCCATACCCTTTTAAGTTGATAAAATTCAGTTTTATATATATATATATATATATATATATATACAAACACACACAGATATTCCATGATAGATTTGTTTCCTAAGTAATATATGAGGTATAATAATTTCTGTCTTAACTCTAACAAGAGCTAAATGTAGATATTAAATGTAACATTTTCATAGTACAGGGGGCAGTATTGGCCTGTGTAATATAACGTGGTTTGTGTATGAGAGACAGACAAGTGAAAACCCTCCCATTTCCATCTCTCAAATATATAAGTAGCTATTTAAAAACCCTTTGAGGCAGCTTCATGCTTCTTTTGAATAAGCTTTACTATTTATTCAGTCCCTTTGAAGATGTGAAGGATGACTTTGGGCAGGATACTTTGTGAGAAATCTGTATACAGTCTTCAGGTCCTCAAAATTTTCTGACTTCACTGGATCTTAGTGAAAAGGGAAAAACTAGAAAACTAGTCTTGTTTATTCCTTTAATTAGGTATTTCTTTTGAATTACCAATTGCTTGGATTACTACTCACATCTAACCTCTTTTGCACAGACCTTTCATAGCTGAGTTTTCAAGCTCTCCTCCTGCTTTTTTTTGCAAAGCATTTTATAAAGCTCCTCTTCCCTTAAACATCACTTCTCATTCATGCCTTTTCCTTAAACTGCCATGTATAGTAATTCTAGTGCTGTGGAGGTCATTAAAGAAAAATAGATTTTCAAAATTGCCCTTCAAGAATGATGGTTTTTTTGTCAAAGTTGCAGTACTCTGAGTGAGTGCAATAGGAATTTTTTTGTTGCTATCCCAATGCCATGGCTTAAGCAATTACTGCAGATATCATCTGTGTGGAAAGTTTTTCATTTTGGTAAGCTTCCTAAGTTGAAGAAGGTCTCTGCATGTTTTCTTAAATCTGCCCTCAAAGAAAACAGCAACTCTGAGTTAAAAGGGACAGACCACAAAAGAGGTGTGCTTTTGTCTTGCTGATAATATTTTTAATAGCATTGACAGAAAGCTTCTTGCCAGTCAGCAGAGCTTTTAATCAACACTGTCAGCTTGATTGACTTGACTCAATAAAAGTTTAAGTGAACAGCACCTTTCCACCAAATTAATCAGTGCCTTTTTTTTTGGCACTGATTATTTTACTGTTAATTTTGTAATTTTTTTGGGTTTAATTTCTTAGATAGAAAGCTAAAATTTCTCTTTATCTAATACTGCTTCTTGAAATTCTCCACAGTGTGCCTAGTCCTGGTGGCAGTCTGAGGCTAACACATTATTAGGATGCAGGGAATGCTGCAGTATTCTTAGTGTCTTATCTTCTGGTACGTCAATACTTATTATTTATATATACCTAGTTCACTGTTTTTGAAACTTTTTGAAAGTGTGGCATTCTCTGGGTCAGCTGTGTCTGTGCTACTTCTGGACAGAAAAGATAAAACTATCCTTAATTACTTAGAGTAGCAGAAATCACAATTCCTTAGCCCTGCGGAAACTGGAAAGTACTTATAATTAAAGGTAGTTAGTAGTCTCTTCAGCTGCTACTCCTTGGCTATCTTTAGCCCTCATAGCCTTTTCTTCCAATTCTCACTTATGGTGGTGTTAATGGCTACGTGGCTATGGTGTGAGTCAGTTGCCATCAAACCCTAAAGTCTAACCTTGGGCAGAAAACAAGATGAAATTTCAATTGGAGACCACTGTTTAAGAAGTACTAGATCTAATTTAATAAAACTAAAAAGTGGAACTGTCTAAATATCTCCTATCGCTCTCTTATACCTCAACATGAAAAATATATAGGGCCAATGCAATTCAGTAACATAGCTGAACATCTCTCCCTCCTCCTAATTCCCTTCCAAACAAAACAAACAAAAAGTTGTTTTTAACTGAAAAGGAACAAGAAGCTATTTCCTGCTAGGATAAAGACTGGGCAAAATCTGCCTAGTTTATTTTGGCATTAGCAGAATTAGAAGACATGTCAGTGTTTTACAACTGTTTGGATATAGAATTAGCAAAACATTTTGAAATATATTCCTGGCTGACTCATCACACTGGCATAATTGAAGTTCAGGGATCCAACTCAGATTTACAATAAAGAAAAATAAGACAAATACTCTACTGCAATTTTGGTTTCAGGCATTAGTGGTAAGAGAATAAAATATATTCTGTATTATTTATACATGGACAGATATAGGAATACATTGTAGTTGTACTAATTATAGGAATCGTTTCAATGTTCACACAGGCAATATGTAGGAATCGCAATAGACAACATGTCAATACACTTCCAGTATCTCATGCTATCCCTTCAGCATGGGGTAGCCTCGCTGTTTTTGTTGCAGTCCAGCAAGGACTTTTGATAACTTGCTGTCTGAAATTAATGCTTGTTTGCTCATGCTCACTGAAGTGCTGTTTCTGTCCTGGAAGCATTTTTGGATGCATTTCAGTGGGCCTTTTGAATGTTACTGTGATACCTACTTAGCTTTGGTGAAAGTAAGAAGGTCTCTGAACTTTCTCACTGTTTTTCTAGTCTTTGTTTAAAAAATGTAAAAAAAGGAGCTATAGGTGTCTTTAAGGAAGTTTGCTGCTGAGAAGTTTACCATGAGGACAGAGTCTAATTTGCAGTCACATATGTCAGAGGTGGCTCTGACTTCTCCTTGGACTATGCATGAAATACTTGTACCACCATCCTGAGAAAGGCAAACCTACTTCTGCACTCCCTGGTACGTTGACTGTTTTACAGTGATGCCTGTTCTCATGGAGGCACAGTGTGGATTCAACTCTTCTCAGTTCCCTTTTACTACCTCTCTGCTGTGTGTCAGCATCCTCCTACATCTTCAGTCCTTCAGAACTGAAAGAAATACTTGTAATTAAGAACCTTCCTGCACGGTGCTCAATCTAAAGGCTTTTAACATGGATGCCACTACTGTCCTCAACTGAGAAAGTGGAAGAAAAGAGGGTGAAGCCCCCATTTGCCCAAATCTTTGTGGTGTGATAAAGGAGACAATCAGTGCAGGGTATAATTGGCCTGCCTGGGACCTCCATCTCTCCATCCCATTGCTCTTCATCCCTTGCTGTCACTGACAGTGCTGACCTAGTGACCTAGGAAGAGAGTGTCTGAGTTGTCTGAGCTGGCTATCCTGGCTCTTCTCCTACAGGCAAGCAGAGGAGGCAAGAAGGCTGCTTCCAGGGCTCAGGAAAGAGTCATCCTGTGCTGGACCTCATGCCAGGTAACAGAGCAGCAGAGGGAAATCCATCTTCTGATTCAAGCTAGACCTGTTTGAAGGCAACAGTGGTGTCTTGGACCCCTCCTGAAACTCCTAAGAGATAGGTTGGGGAAGTGCTTGGATGCAAAAATTACTAGGATTAGTTCAGTTGGTTAGAGCATGGGACTTCTAATGCCAAGGTTGTGTGTTTGATCCCCATATGGGCCATTCACTTCAGAGTTCGACTCAGTGTTCTTTGTGGATCCCTTCCAGTTCAGAATATTTTGTGATTTTGTGATTCCAGGGATAAAGTTTGTGCAATGTTGTTTCAGCCATAGGGGCTTGCAGGGGTACGTACATAGTGCTGTCTGCCCTACCAGCTTGGTTGTCACCTGCATAGGGCTGAACAAAAGATGCTTCTGACAGGCAGGTGGACTTTTGCTCATCTGAGCTCCCCTCTGCTTTAAAGACATGGCTAATCCACCAGAAGGTGGCTTAGTGCTTGTATCCATCAAATGGTAGTCATAATAGTCACGCTCTTTAAATGGAGTGAAGCCAAATGTTGCCATTTGGTTGCCTACAACTTGTGTCCTCAATGCAGCAATGACTGCGAGAATGAGAATGCTGCTTACTTGGCCTGTAAACTTTGTCTTCTTGGAAGTTACTCTCTCACCATGAGGTGAACAGTAAGTTTAAGGACAAGGCAAGCAATATGGTATGTACTCATGTCAGATACTTATGGCACAAGTTCATAATATTTTACAGTCACTGTGTTGGTGTTTGCTATTTTGATGGCATCTGTCACAAAATCAGATGGCCAGGACTTAAACAAGAAACGGAATCCCAAACGTGAGCTCAAACTTAGTGCTACCAATATTCTGCATTCCCATTTCCCCTGTTACTTCCTCTGTATCTTAAAATCAAATGTGTGAAAAAAAAAGACAACATATTTTGTAACTACTTGACTCACCACCAAAAGGCTTGGTGATATGTGTAACATGCTCTAACTGTAATGGTGGGCATCAGTGTAATGGAAAGTAGCACAAGCAGTGAAGAATTACACTGTGTTCTGTTATCACTACAGCAGGAAGGTAAGAAGATAATATTCCCCAAACTTTTGTCAGAAAATGGCTTGCTATGACTGCTTGTGCAGTTCTTTGTATCGTTCAAAAAAGGTTCCTAGAGCAAAACATACTGACTTGTCCTTTGTAATCCACAAGGTAAAAGAGGACCCCCATAGAGAATTATTCATGTTTTTACCTCCCAAAAGTTATCTCTTTTCTTTCAATGTGTACCAACTTGACTCAGCTGCTTTCTGGTTATATTTGAGAATCTTACTCAACTGCAGAGAGCTAGAGATGGTTCACAATTGCAGCAGCACTCTAACTGGGTAACTCCTTAAGAACTACTCCTAGGAAAGGATTGAAACTACTTAGAGTGATGACTGGTACAATTTGGCACCTAGCAATGGGGAGGATAACATTCATAATAAAAAGAGCTTTCTCAAAAGCAACATCGAGTACTTCAGAGACCTGCCTTGGACCTAGCACCACAGACATTGAATGTTATTGCAAAGAAGAGGTGACCTTCTCCAGGTCACAGGCTACCTGACTGTCTGAGGTGCTAATTCTTTTGCTGCAGTCTCTGCTTCTCAAAAGACAACTTTTGCAATATGCAACAAAATGTGTTAAGGCTGAGACAATATTTTGACAGTTATTTTCCCTCTGCTCTGATGGCTTTGGCTGAAAGCACCACATCAATAACATTAACTGAAGAGAAGCATGCAGACATCTTGGCAGAGTTTGACAGATGACTGCTTGGGCTGGTGCAATGAAAGAAATCCCTGTTCTTCCTTGTGCTCAGAGCATGAACCCTGCAGGTGTAGGGGGCCATGTCCAGGTGGGCATGTCCCTGGAGGTCAGGATGGGGATGCTCCAGGGAAACTGGAGGCAGGCATCCTATTGCAAAAATGAGTTTTAGCCTCCCCTGTGCAAACCTCTTATTCAAAGACGCTGATACATCTGTGACTAATGTGTTGGACTTGATCTCTCTTCAGTGTACTGGCTTCCCTTCTGAGCATTTTCAAGCATTGGCACTTTACTGATTTGTTTATTTTAAAAGTGGATTTTGTCCCTGTTGAAGCCTTACAGCCCCTGCTGTGCGACACTCTCTCAGGAGAGCAGAGTGACTGCAATGAAGTACATAGCTGTTTGCCAGGAGAGAGTGGCTCACTTTCTGTTATTTCCCTTTTTCTTTTATTTTTAGTCAATGATTTTTCCCTGCTTGGGTTTTTAATCATAGCCAGTCTTTCTCCAATAGCCTGTTCTCCCTCGTGTGCCTGTGGATATGCGTGCACATGGGAGAGAGGGAAGCAAAGAGGGAGGCAGAGAGTGAAACAGTTCTTGGGCTATGTTGACAGATGAATTCTTCCTCAGTTGTTCAGGTTTCAAGCCTGTCGGCAGCGCTGCTGGTAAGTGGGAAAAAATACGGCTAGGGAGGGGAGGGCAAGGCTGACCTGGTGGGGCTAGACCGAAAGGGGCCTGTGTGCTGCCCCTGGCACAGCAACAGGCAGCGTGGCAAGGCAGAGCTGCAGCCTTGGGGACCCCTGCACACACAGCTCACTCCCCACAGCAGCCCCTGCACACACAGCTCACTTGTCAGCAAGGGATTTTCCTCCCCTCCTCCCTTGATAAAGATCCCTCAGCTGCTATTATGGGTTGTATCCTTGGCTTATTGTGAAAGCAAAACGAAACAAAAAACAAAGGGAAAAAAATCTGCGTGGTTTTGCAATCTGGAGATGAGCTTTTGATCCTCTTGCTCAGCCCGAGGATGGTGGCGTGCTGGCACAGCTGCCCCCCGTGTACACCTGAGCTCTCCAGGGCTGCCTACACAGTTCCCTTTGCAGGGATGGGGGAGAAGTGTGTGCCAGAAATGTTCACTGCTCCCCAGCAGCGTTAAAGGTGTGGAGAGTGTGTGTGTGTGTGTGTGTGTGTGTGGAGGCAGCAGCTGTCCTTGCAGAGCTTTAACCAAAGTGGTAACCTGCAGCTATGGAGTCACCGACTAAGGAAATTGAAGAATTTGAGAATAACTCTCTGAAATACCTACAGCCAGAGCAAATAGAGAAAATCTGGCTTCGTCTCCGAGGCTTGTAAGTAGTACTTTTCTTTTAATCTCCTCCAATTTCCTCCCACTGTCAAAATTATTGTAGCACTTTATTTTTTCTTCTCGCTGTACCTTCAAAATTTCCCAGCAGTTTCCACACCTGTTCTCCAAAAATAAAGTTACTTTATCTTAGCAAAAGATTCATTTACTTCCTTAAATTAAACTGCTTCTTACATTGAACATTTTCAAGTGGAAATGTAGAAATGTCATTAATGAAGCATTTTAAGATATAAGCAGTTACTGGAATTAGTTCAGGTGTTATACTAGAAAAGTTTTGTTATAGCCTGAATGATACTTAATTGAATCCTCTGTTTTCAGTAATCTTACCCTTAGCTGCAGCATAGAGACTTTTTCCCCACTGCAATGTACACCATTTCTAGCACTGACATGATGTATAAGGACAAAATAGGCAGAGAAGACACAACTGGAAAACATTTCCAATAGCATTTGTAATAGCAGCAAATTAATCTTCCACTGATTTGATTGTACTTATTAATTTATATGTTAAGCCTGATTTGCCATGAGATGACTGTATACTGCCTCCTGAGTAGAAAAACGTATCTGTGTTTAAAGAACTTGGCACTGCAGAAAAGAAAAAGCTGTAGTGTCTGCCTAGCTTTCTTAGAAACAATATCTGGTGTTTTTCATATTCTCAGTATGTAAAATTCTGTCAGCCATTTGCCCATCATTTCTTGGCCGTGGCAAACAGGAGTGTTACTATGTTAAACTACAACCCTTCCTGTGCTCAGAACTGTTTTGGTTTGTATTTTTTTTCTTCAGTCTCACATGTTAGAGTTATTAAAATTTCAGCCCTCAAGGGAAAGGTAGAGGGAAAGGGGCCAAAGAGGTTTGGAAACAGCAGAAGCAAAAAAAAGAAGAGTAGGCCAGTAGTTAAAAACAAATGGGTCCAAGTTAAACTTGAGTTGCTTTTGGGTGTTACTTTGTGTAAGCAACTATGATATATTTTATAAAGCATAGCCAAAACTTCTGTAGGACTAAAAGCAATATGAGAGATATGCATTAACATGTGTGTCTTTCAAAGCATCATGCCAGGAAGCCTGTTTTGTGAAGGAACCTAATCAAAGTAGATGACAGCTGTCTTGTGAGCCTTCCTAATTGAAGACCCTCACTAAACAAACTCTCTATTAGGACTTCTTGAATTTCTGTTTAATATAGAGTTTAGGAGCATGCTGATTTGGATTCTACCTGGAGTTCATAGATAAGCAGCATTTTTGTTCAGGACCTCTCCTGCAGTTAGTACAAAGCAGTGTCTGTATATTATACAACAAGCTTGGGTCTCTTCTACCTTTTAGAAAGTTAGAACAACTGTAAGACTTTTTCTAGATGTGTAATAACTAAAATTCACACTGTTTTTCAGTATAACCCTCTTTGCCATCAGTGTGTATTAGTGTAACAAATATGTCTCTTTCGAGTTTTGAGATTGCCTAAAGAGGAGAGAGTTTTTTCTGTAGAATTCTTAATCACTGGATGAAAACAGAAAAGAAAATTTTCCATTCCCAGTTTTCTAATGGAGGCTTAGTGCATTGATACACACCAAACTGAGATTTGGCATAATGTTTTATGATTTTTCTTGTCTGTCTTTATGCATACTTATATGTGTAAGAAGAACAATCAGATGTGCACAACCCTCTTAGTTGAAGCTTAAATAAGAGGCTTCATCCTGGAGAGAACAAATATCACTTGAGAAAATCTCTGTCTCCTCTGCCCCTAGTAAACTGACAGCCATGTCTCACTGGAATTAGTTACAAGGCACAGCAGTGCTACCAGCACAGTGTTACACAGGTGCTGAGAGCATGCTGCTGGCTGAAGCTACCTGAGGAGTTGCAGTCTGCAGCAGGCAGACACCCAATAGATAATTTGATCCTGGCATCTCTTCTTAAATGGGAAGGGCTGTGATGATTTAAATAATCTGAGGTCTCAGTGTTGTGTTGGACATCTCCTTGGTAGGACTTCACCTTTGGCAGCTCTGGTACTTTCCTCTCCTCTTCCCACCCCCAGTGCCAGCTGGTATGTTTATTCACAAAAACTTTGTGGACAAAACAATA